CCTGCGTCTTTTCCGGATTCTATCATAGTTCATACTACTCATGAAAAAAAATCGAAATTTACGGTTTCATATCCGAATGCGGTCCTTAATTTTATGGTGAAGGTATGTATAAATGAACAAAAAATATGTTCTTTTCTTTTGATTACTATTAGGTGTAATAAAAAGAAATCCATTATTTTTGTATGAAATTGAATGGAAAAATAATGGATTTCTTTTTACTACACCTAATATATTTTTTTTACAGGATCAATTTACTAATGAAATATATCATGAGCTTGTGGATAAAGATAATTTAACGTATGAAATCAAAAGTGAAAATTCTATATTTTTTGAAGTTGATGGACCGTATCTAGCAATGGTGTTACCCGCTGCAAAAGAAGAAGGAAAGAAATTAAAGAAACGATACGCAGTTTTTAATTTCGATGGTTCACTAGCTGAACTAAAAGGATTTGAAGTAAAAAGAAGGGGTGAATTGCAACTGATAAAAATTTTTCAAGCTTCTGTTTTTGAATCCTTCTTAAAAGGAAACACATTGGAAGAATGTTATGCTTCAGTCGCGAAGGACGCAGATTATTGGTTGGATTTATTGTATAGTAAATGTGCGAATATGCCTGATACCGAATTGTTCGAACTTATATCCGAAAACAAATCCATGTCGCGTAAATTGGAAGAATATGGTGCACAGAAGTCCACGTCGATTTCTACGGCTAAAAGATTAGCTGAATTCTTAGGCGATGAGATGGTTAAAGATGCAGGTTTAGCTTGTAGATATGTTATAGCAAATAAACCGCAAAGCGCACCAGTTACTGAGCGCGCGATACCATTGGCTATTTTTCAATCAGAACCGGCTGTGCGAAGACATTATTTGAAAAAGTGGTTAAAGGATCCTACTTTATACAGTGAGGATATAAGAGATATTTTAGATTGGAATTATTACATTGAACGACTCGGGAGCGCTATTCAAAAAATAATCACTATACCAGCAGCGATGCAAGGCTTACCGAATCCAGTTCCACGAGTGCAGCATCCACCATGGTTACACAAGAAAGTGATGGAGAAAAGTTCATCCCATCGTCAGAAAAAGATCACAGATATATTTTCTGTAGTAGATAAAGATACTTCTCATGCGAACAATGCCGAAGAACCCTGTGATATTGAAGACCTTGCAGGACCGTCCACTAGTTTCACAACTCCAATGTCAGTTGTTAACAAGAGGAAAAGACAGCATTCAGATGAAGATGAGATAATCAGAGTGAAAAATTGGAAAGAAACTCTGGGTTCACCTCCTCCCATGGGAAGAACGAAAGAAGAAAGGCTTAAATGGTTAGAATTTCATAAGAAAAAGTGGGCCTTCCAAGCTAAACAAAGAAATCAGCATCGGAAAAAGAGAAGTAAAACTGATGAAATCGACAGAATTGGCTGGGGAGTTATACGAAATACAAATACATCTACCATGACTGGCTTTTTAAGACGCGCTCAAAGGAAATTGTTGGAAACTCCGTGGGAAATCATTCAGCTATCGGAAACCAGTGAACCCGGCATGTTTCGATTGTGGATACTGGTCGACACACAGCTGCATCAAGTACGTCTCGTAATACCCCGCATATTTTACGTAAACACTCGCAAAGCAAGACCCGATCCAGGACCTAACGAGCTTTGGAAAAAAAGTTTTAGATCTTTACCACGCTCTCGCCCGATATACAACTTGTATCAATATTGTCTACCAGAATCTCTATTTCAAGAGCACAGTCGGGAACTCCTGGAAGATTTAAATAAACCAGAAATTGAAGGGATTTACGAGACGCAAATGTCATTGGAATTTCGGGCCATATTGCAGTTGGGATGCGTATGCATAGTCGATCCGCGTGTTATGCGTAAAGTGGCAGATGGTGCCGATACCTTTACTCTGGATCAATTGGAATACAAGAGTATCGCTTTTCATCCTTATCTTAAACGAACTGAGTCGATCAACTACATATTTCTCTATCATCATTGGAGTTCAAACCGTCAAAAAGCACTATGGGGCTTATTTTTAAGCGCCAGCAAGAGGGCTCACATATTTGTCTTAGATTCAGTCGTTTCTAATCAACTACCGAACATGAATACATTATACACGAACGAACGTAAAGCAATATTGGAAACAAATGGCGAAGACAGTATAAGCGAATTGCCTGAAATTATGCAGTTTATGATACAAGTTGAAACAAACTTTCAACATGTGTGTCGTACATTGCAAGCAGCCTTAACGACATATAAGAATGAAAAGCACGGTGCTACAATTATTATTAATCAAACTGCTCTTGACAAAACTGTGTTAATTACCGAAATGCCACTTCTCAATGATTTCCCTCTTGTCAGCACGCACGTGCGAGACGTTGAGAATCTATACAGCACATTAGAATGGCAGAAGATCGGTGCGAAAATGATGATCAGTCACTACCTGAAGAGTCAACAGATTGTCGAATTAATCGCAGAACAATGTCGATATTTTCACGCACCCATTGGCAACATACCCGCGGATACTTCACTCTTTGGCGCCGATTTATTCTACGCTAGAAATTTGTACAGGAATAATTTTGTCCTATGGTGCTCACCCACGGAGAAACCCGATTTAGGTGGCAGCGAGAATGACGATAACAGGCTACTGACAGACTTTGAGGAAAGTTCGAGTTGTGCTGCGAACAATCCAGGCACATATTCTAGTGTTTGCGTCCAGTTGGAAGTAGATTATTTAGCGATCAGTGCACTGTTGCAATATAATCATATTCACGATATAGATGGAACTAGTACGTTTGTAGCGTTTCACAATCAACAGCGTCCATCCGTCCAGGTCAGTTTTATACATCTTTCGAAAATTATATATATATATTTAAAATTTGTTTAAAAAAAATATACCCCTTTAAATTAATTAACAGTACTTTTTAAAAATTTATTTGCAATAATTTCTCTAAGTTGACAATATATTATATAAATTATATTAAATTATTCAATAGGACATGGCAATGGGTAGTGATGCTGCAACAGTTATTCCCAGTTACGACGAAATCACTTTATGCAATCCATCGTTTAAAATATTGCGAAACATGGTAAACACATGGTTGCTTGATGTATCTCTGTATAAAAATACATTCGCGGATTATCAATTGATCCATTTCTATCGGTACGCTATTATTATTTGTATTGTTATTACTTAATTATATAATACTCTGTTATATAAACACGCATGCACATATCCATACGATTCTAGATGGCTGAGATCTTCAAACGCTTTGCTTTATGATCCTGCTCTTCGTCGTACTTTACATACTTATATGAAAAAGTTATATATACAATTAATAGCACATTTCAAAACGTTAGGTTGTATTATAGTTTTTGCAAACTTTAATAAGATTATTGTATGCACAAAGAAAAGATCTGTGAGCGATGCTTTAGGCTATATAGAGTTTGTTGTTCAAACCATACAAAACAAAGAGCTGTTTCACAGTATTGATATTTCTTGTGAACAATGTTGGGAATACTTAGTATGGCTTGACTTGGTATGATTCATCAATTATTTCATTCATGAAATGTTTAGTGTAACATTTTGAATACATATTTGATTTTTTCAACAGCACAATCATGCTGGTATTAAAGGACAGTCACCTAAAGATGATATGGGAGACGATGAGAATACTGAAAATGATGACGATGACATGGTAAAAAAATAAGCATATTTATAGACATTTGTAAAAATTGATACTGATAATACTTTGACGATATTTTTCTACTTGAATTATTTTTATTTAGCTTCTAATCATGAATTGGAATTTGATGGAATGCTTGCCTACAGAAGCAGGATGTCAAGCAAGTTTTAATGCTGTAGTAGCAGGATACATACGTGCAGTATATCAGTGTATGATTGAGAATGAAACTAATAACACTATAAGGCCAAGAAGAAGACAAAGCCAAAGCCAATCGTTTATAGCACCACTTGGTTTAGGTGCATTGGAAAATACAGCCGAGTTTGCAAAAAAATTGATATCAGGAGAAATATCTCAAAGATTATTCAAGTATATAATTATCTATTTTACAGTTTTCTAAAATTAATTATGAAGCTTTATATAAAGAGAATGAGATAATTTAATATTGATATTTTGTGCTTGGAAAACTCGATAGTTTGAAAGGATATTATTGCATATTATTTGCAGAATAGCTCAAAAGATACATCGGAATTTGACGGAAAAGATATTAACTCTCGAGGAATATCCTAATTTGAATATGAATGGAAAAGAAAGTATAAAAATCAATCCTGCACTTGAATTAATTAAAGCAGTATGCAAGGTAAACATTACTTTATAAATATTTCAACAATATTTGAATTCGAGATATTAAAAATTATCTGTGAAAATTTCAGGTTTTATCTCTAGATAAAGAGGTGGAGCATGAGGTTTATAACTTAAAAACAAATCTTTTACGATTAATTGGAGTTGGTAGTTATAGCGATAATGTTGAGTGGAAGGAACCGTGTATTTCTCTTGTTTTATCACAAGTTATATGCAAAATATGCAATCGCACGAGAGATATTGATCTTTGTAAAGATGAATATTTCACCAATGAAAATAATAAGTACGTTAAATATGAAAATAATGTGATATTTAGATAAAGATATATACTAAAGATGTATTATTATTATTATTATAGGTTCATGTGGAAATGTCCTAACTGTGATGCATCTTATGACAATACAGAAATAGAATTTTCACTAATTGACAAATTGAATCGTAAAAGTATGGCTTACGTATTACAAGATCTACAATGCCGAAAGTGTAAGGAAATTAAACGAGACAACATGAACTTGTTATGTTCTTGCTCAGGCGAATATGATAATTTAATTTCACGAGACGAAGTCACAAGCTATGTAAATATATGTAAATCTATAGCCACGAAATGTAAAATGAATATTTTAGCAGAGATAGTAGATAACACGAAACTTTTTACGAGTTAACTAAATCAAGGTTTTCTCCCTTTATGATAATTTATTAATTTGTTTTGTTTAGGACTGTTTAGGTTAAAAAAACCAGATTATAATTTACAGCTATATTTTTAAGATGACTTACTTAATATTTAATAATTCAACAGTACATGAATGTCCTATGATATATATACATGTTCACTTTTTAATACCCGAATCCACAGGTGGATCTGAAATAAAATACAATATACATTAAATTGTTTTGCTATGTGTTCATATATTTGCATGTAGGCAAAATTGTAATAACTTTTCAATTTAAAACAGACATCTGAAAGACAGATATTTGTTTTATAAGTAACTTACCAACAAATTTAAACTGAGGAAATTGAGTCATATCTATTCCTGGACCACCACCATATTGCATATTAAGTTTTTCTAATTCAGAATCTCGTTCTTTTATAATATTCGGACTAGGATCAACTAATTTCCCATTTCTTTAAATAAAAGAAAAATTTTTATAGCATTTAACATTCTTTATTTTAGACATATTAGATTACTTGATATAACATAAAAATATTAATTCAATATTTTAATGAATCTGATTTATTAGTTCCATAATTATAATTATTGATATTTTGCAGCTATGTAAAATATTTTTAACTTTTAATTTTATTTTTAATTAAAGACATATATATATATATATATTTTTTCAAATTATTCTAATTAATAGATATTCTAATTAATTAATACTGTTGTCTTTTCTAAACAGAATAATACAACAATGAACATAAATAAAATGAATATAGGCAGTTCTTTTAGTTCCTTTACACTAAAAATTTAATTATATTCTTTTTCTATTCAAAGTATAAATAATAATTTTTGCAAAAACATTTCCCCAAAAATATTTTAAAAAATTGAAAAGTATGCTTACACGCTTTTTGATTTATACTCCTGAAGTTTCTTAATGAAGAGTTGCTGTATGGGATCAACTATTTTCTGCAAGACAGGAATGTTGGTGCTAATGTTACGTTTAATAGCTTTCGGCACACTAATGAGACGTGACCTCAACATGATTGCCTAAAACATAAGTCACGCACAATTTTGAGGAAGAATTCTGTATCTATATGTTTTTGTCGTCAACAAGTAATTCTTCTTTTTTTGTACAACAAGCATGAATTATCCAAATAATCTCTCAATTACACATCGAGATCGCAAATTCTAAATTATAATTTTCTTATATGTTGTTAAATTTCATTAGAAAATTAATCTTTCAGACGTCTCTTACGTAATAAAATGCAATAACATTTGTTGGTTAGATTCATTCGGAATAGAATTTAAATTTAATTCCATTAAAAATGATTCGAATATACATTCATCCATTCATAAATGGATAAACAGCAATACATTTAAAATATATTACACATTACGCGTGTATGTTAATAATTAGTTAATGTATTTACTTATATATTTAGCTCGTACACACAACTTCAAATTTTCTTCGCAAGACAATTACTGACACCAACTGACACTACTGAATAACAGAAGCCAATAGTTTCGAGAGGAAAAATCAGATGGAGTCAGTGTTGTTAGATGGGCCGGGTTTCAGACGCATGCATGTCCAATGTAACTTCAGTAATGTACTAGTCACTAGGAGATCAATAGTCGCTTAAGATTGATGAAATGTTGAAATTTTAATATATTTTACATATGTATACATATATACAAATATATATGTAAAATATGTAAAATATATCAAAATTTTCGGTAAATATTATTTTTTACTTGTATAAAATTAACTTTTTTTTGTATATATCAATAAAATATATCAACATTTTTGAAAAAATTTTACACAGACGACTAATGATCTCCTATTTACTAGTAACCGATACGTTACTGAAGTTACATTGGACGCGCATGCGTCCGGCCCGTCTAACAACATTGGATGGAGTAAAGGGATTCCATGAATTAGGTATTGATAAAGATGCGCAAGTTTGAAATTTTGTAAAAAAATTAATTGAAATAAACTTAAGGCAAAATATTTAAAAAGTATAAAAAATTAGACATATGTATAAACATAAAATAATAATAATCTAAAATTATTATGGAGCAAAGAATAAATTTTTATGGCTACGTATATTTGTATTAATTAAAAGAAATAACTTTTTTTGTTTATTTTAATTGTTTTTTCTATATTATATTTTTTCTTGATTTTTTTCCTGAATATTTTATATAAATATCAAAAGTAATTCTTGAAATCGGTTGTATATCATTTGTCAATTATAATATTTTATTTTATTACGTAGATTAATTTTAATCTCGATTTAATTATCTTTCCTTTTTTTTTAAGAAAAAATAAAAAGAAAGGTAAATCGAAATTAAAGCTAATTGGACATTAATCGGAATTTAATCCGGACAGAAAGAAACCTGAGAGATCATGCCAGTTTTTTCCTGTTTCCATCGAAATCGCAAAATCGCCCATACATTATCTCCAGTACATCCATTTTCAGTTTGGGAACTACATATGACTACGTATGAAAATGTATGACTGCATACATTTTCTGACACTATAAAATTGTATCATCAGAATAATTTTTAAGTAGCTTTATTTTTATCTAAATTTATTTTTGTTAACATCTTCTTTAAAAAATATATAATTACTTTAGAGAATATATAATTATA